CCACACAAAAAATAAAAACAAAAGATTTACACCTACAAGAGTAACCCAAACAGTATTATATGACTTAACACTAAAAATTAAATAAATAAATAAGTAAATAAATTGGGTGAGATTCGAACTCGAAACGGCAGCATCGTAACGCATCGCGCTGACCACTGGACCACAATGGCTTAAACTTTTTCTCCCCTTTTCAGATTTCTGATCAAGCTATGTCAGAGTTATTATTGTGGTGAATCATCAGATGTACAGGTGTAATATTCATTCATATTAATTATTCTAATTATCTTATATTCACTATCAGGTGCCACTCTTTGGGGTCGAATGATAGTTACAACATCATTAACCTGCAGGCTGCATTTTGCTTCCGGGGCTGCGAGAAAATACATAAAAAGAGCAGAGCTGCTGCAAAATATTAAATAAAAAGAGTGAGGCTATGGTCAAATAAATGAATAAATGAAAAAAATGCAACAGCTAAGAGTGCAAGCAGGTAGGGACAACAGTCCTCGCAGCCAAAAAAACGGACCATTCCACCGGGAATTCTCCCGGTCATCCCGATTAGCCAATCCGGGCCTGGGTGGTACCTTTTTAAAAGGTACACATTTGTACTTGAAGGGTCCATACTGGTACCTCAAAAGTATATATTAGTACCCACAAATTTTAAGAGGAACACCTTTGTACTTTTTAGGTACTAATATGTAGCCTTGAGGTATTAATATGGACCTTTTAGGTACAAATTTGTACCTTTTGTAAAGGTACCACCCCAGTGACAGCTCGCATACCTTTATTTCTGAGAGTGTGATTTAGTTTTTCCTTTCTTTTTAAAATATTTCTCAAATGATGTTTAACAGAGCAAGAATTTTTTCACAGTATTTTCAATAATGTTTTTTCTTCTGAAAAAAATCTTATTTGTTTTATTTTGGCTAGAATAAAAGCAGTTTGTAATTTTTTAAGAACTATTTTAAGGTGAATATTATTAGCTTCCTAAAGCAATGTTTGTTTTGGATTGTCTCCAGAACAAACCACTGTTATATGATGACTTGCTTAATTACTCTAATTAATCTAGTTAAGGCTTTACATGTCACTTTAAATTGAATACTAGTGTCTTGAAGAATATATGTACTGTCATCATGGCAAAGATAAAATAAATCAGTTATTAGATAGGAGTTGTTAAGAAATGTGTTAAAAACTGTTAAACAGAAATTGGGGGAAAAACATATACAGGGGAGCTAAATATTTAAATTTCAACGATACATATAACTTTTCCTTCATCATAAAACTAATAATAATAACAATAATAATAATAATAATAATAATAAACTTTATTTGTATAGCACTTTTCCAACATACATGCAACTCAAAGTGCCTCACAAACAACAACAAAAGCATTAAAATAGACCACATAAACTTATCACATATACTGAAATAAAAGCATTCATGTACACAAAATATAAGTATATATGCACACGATCACACACACAATAGTCCTTACATATGCAAGCACACACCATACATAATAAAACAACTAAACTACACATTATAAAAACATTGCAATGCAAAATGTATTTATTTTCTTTATTTATGCATATCTTTTTTATCTCTTGATTTTTTTCAGATCAGTTCTTTCAGATTTCACTCAGTTTGCTAGTTAGTTGGCTAACTGAGTAAAAGCTTGAGTCTCAGTATGGTGTGTTTGCCACTTAATGAGTGGCGGACGCGAGTCAGTCATTAGTCACAGAGAGGTAAAAGGTGAAGCTGATGTCAGATCAGTGAGATCTGCTGTCCAGAAGTCAGTGTTTGCTGTGTTGGCATGTGGCTCGCCTGCCTAGCGGCTCGTGCCAGTGAATGACTCAGTGTGTGTGCAGGCCTGGATTAGCTTATGTGTTTGGATATGTGTACTTGTTTTTATATTTAAGTGCCATTTAAAGGTGTTGTGTGTAAGTTTTAGCAAACAGTATCAGACTCCAAAATGAGACAGATTTCCAGAGTTCCACGTGAGGCGGTTATTAATTAGCAAATAATATAAATATTACGAGCGTAAACATTACGTGTGCGATAAGTGTTTACTCGTGATGAGTTAGTATGTAAAGTAAGGCAACTGACTTTACAATTGTGAATGACAGTGTGTTCCTTGTGAAAACAAAAGATTTTCTGCATGAAAATTGTGTAAAATGCAGAGAATTGTGTGTTGTGTTTTGAAAAAAAGTGTGTTTTAAACCTGCAGTTTGAGTGTAAAGCAGGAATTGTGCTTGTAGTTTAGCAGAATTGGTTCAGGGGGTTGGTGCATCAGTTACATGTTGTAGAAATTGTGTCTGTAGTACAAGTAATTGTGTGTAAACAACCAAGAAAAACTGTAAATGCAGATGCTGAATCACTGATATGTGTTTGGTTCTAAAGTTCAATTTCAGACAGTTTATTTTATTTTCAAGATCTGAGGTGAACTTTCTGCTGCTGCTTTCAGTAGTATGGCAGTAAATATCATGTAAAACGGCATTCAAACTCACATTTTTATTATTTAACACTTAATAAGACACATGAGGTGTACCTAAGGTGTCAGTTTTCTGTTATTTATCTGTGAGTAATAGAAGCCGTTTCTAATATATCAATTTGAGGTGTTGGTTAGTACAAAACTCCTTTTAATATGGAAAATATTCCCTCTATCGCGTGCTGTTGCTTTTATTTAGAACAAGTTATAAATCACTCGCTCCTGTCCTCAATCCGGCAACCTGCGCTTGCGGTTGTTTTGAACCAGGTGTGCAATACCTAGTTCAACCACTGGGTGTCAAACTTACATACTGCACCTTTAAACCTGAATGCACACAGATTCATGGGGACTTTGAAAACACAGAATTAAGGTCGCTATGGGTAACCTTGCTTATCAAATAGGCAGAATGAAATTTTGAAAATGTGAAATGGTGATTGTTTCCTGTGAGGGTTGGGTTTAGGGGGAGGGTTGGGAGAGGGAAGAGCATATATAGATTGTATACTAGACACAACATTATTGTATGTCCCCACCAGTACATGAGAGCACGTCTATTTGTGTGTACTAGTTTTGGAGTTTTTTTGTATAATGACATGTGTATGGGTGGCACGGTGGCTCAGTGGTTAGCACTGTTCCCTCAAAGCAAGAAGGTCGCTGGTTTGAGCCCTGGCTGGGCCAGTTGGCATTTCTGTGTGGAGTTTGCATGTTCTCCCCGTGTTGATGTGGGTTGCCTCCGGGTGCTCCGATTTCCCCCACCGTCCAAACACATGCGCTATAGGGGAATTGAATAAACTTGGCCGTAGTGTATGAGTGTGTGTGTGTAAGCAAGAGTGTGTATGAATGTTTCCCAGTACTAGGTTGTGGCTGGAAAGGCATCCACTGTGTAAAACATTCATTCATTCATTTTATTTTCGGCTTAGTCCCTTTATTAATCCGGGGTCGCCACAGTGGAATGAACCACCTACTTATCCGGCAAGTTTTACACAGCGGATGCCCTTCCAGCTGCAACCCAGCTCTGGGAAATATCCACACACACTCATTCACACACATACACTACAGACAATTTAGCCTACC